GGTTTGATCTGGTTTGGTAGCCCTGATAATAATAATAATAATAATAATAATAATAATAATAATAATAGTAGTAGTAGTAGCAGCAGCAGCAGCAGCAGCAGCAGCAGTAGTAGTGAAAGGTTCGCTCGCAGTTAATGAATCAAGTGAAAGCATTGTCCAAGACAGCTGAGTGTTAATCTGAATGCATAGAACAGAAAAAAAAATGAGGGGGAGGAAAGAAGCCGAAATCGCGTTTTGCCAAATATTATGCACATTTAATGGTAATGATGATGATTGAAGATAAGTAATTTTAGAGAAGTTTCTTATAACATTTCAATAACTATGTGGCACATTTATCGATTTGCCTGCCCCTTTAAACTAATGAGAGTGACTTGAATGAAGAAGAGCATCACATATTAAAAGCACAAGGCTCTTGTGACACTAAAAATGCAAGTGATTGTGATCCAGAGGTTTAGAATTAAGAATAGTAGCAACGCCTTATAAAAATTGGGTGACATTTGTTATATCAGACTATAAAGTTCTGTGTGGGTATAACGTAACGTGTATGCTCTGCAAGTTTCCGATATGTAGGCCTATTTCAGAGTCATCATGAATGAAGATCAAAAGAAGAGGATCAGACAGCAGTATGTCTACCTGGACAACAACCTGACAGACCCGAGGAGTACAGGGCTTGTTGAACACCTGTACCAAGATGGCGTCATTGAGGAGAGAGATCGCCAGATTGTGGAGAGTAAACCAGCGACAAAAGATGCCATAAAACATCTGCTAGATACCGTGATAAACTCTTCACATCAGGGCGCATTTGATTGTTTCCTCAAACTTTTAAAAGAATATGGACAAGACTACTTGGCCAATGTTTTAAGACAAAGTACCAGTTCTGATGGAACAGGTGAATAATCTAATACCAACTGTAGGGGAGAGCGGGGTTGGTTGGAACACTTTTCACCTTTTTTGCGATATCTCAGCAGTCAGAGCTTTGGGGACAAAAATAAAAACACTGATAGGGGATAATTATATGCCGCACTCATCTATGAAATAAAACATCAAGTAGGTCTTTTTATTTTAGAGTAATAAATGCTCAAAGTTGCCTCTTAAAACGTTCCATCTCACCCCACCCACGGGGTAAGTTGGAACAGGCAGTGGGGTGAGTTGGAACAAAAGGGCGAGTTGGAACGCTTGAATATAAATTCAAAGTATAATTCATTTTAAGAGTAGGTTTATCTATATTAATTTCCCAACAAGAACGTATTACCTTGTATTCGTATCTCCATAGTTTGTAAGCATTTTTTTCGTTTACAATTTGGTTTCAAATAGTCTTTTCGATATCTAAACCATATCCAGTTACACGTCATTTCATAATGATAACAAAAGTGGTGTAGTGGTGAAAAGAAATTGAATATCACATAACTCAACCTATCAACAACAGTATGTTAGACCTACAAATGAAAACTGTATCTCTTTCAACTAGACCTCAGAATCAAAATCGCAGTTCTGACATATGTACACTCGGTCACCCTTAATTAGTACAGTATTCATGTGACCACTTTAGACAAACAATGCATTTAACCCATTNTAAATCCAAGAGATGGGTACGGGGGCCCTTACCATCTAGGAGGAGAAGCGGTAATGGTAGCCGTCCGGCGGAACGATCCGGACGGGACCGAAACCATGTGTACCGCCAGCGCTAACGCTGGTGGTACAATTACCTGACACAATGTCCTGTTCTGGCTTCCTGTCTGGCCGTTCGTCTGTATGGGAATGATGTTCAACATGTAAGTTTGTTTGTTGGACCGTTAAAGATTGATAAACTTCATAATGGAGGCTTTCCACCTCTGCTTGATTGGACAAATCATCCACCTTATCAGTTAAACAGTCTAATTTTTCAGCCATGGTTTGCATGAGCTCGAACATTTGAATATCTTCCTGGCAGGCTTTTACTATAATTTCCCGATAAGACATTTCCCTCTCAGGTTCAACTGGTTTGTCTTTCAACTGCTGTATCTCTGTCAGAGTCATCACTCCAAGTCGTATAATGGCACTGGAGATGGCTGCCCACTTCTGTTCAAATTCACTGGTGGTGATGTCAGTTGATTCATGGTGAGCTAGTGAATTGCGTTCAAACTTGAGGAGAATGATGTCCTGCATGTCTTGTGGGGCACCTGCAGCTTTTGCTGGATCATCCCAAACTGGTGCATTAGGACGAAATTTCCCCACTTGGAACTGGCGAATCAATAAAAAGATGAGGGTGATGTCAAATCCCTTCAAATCAGGCGGCCGATTATTGGCAGGGAAGATCAGATCATACTGCCTCTTGTTGATAAGTCTCTTGCACCCATGTCTTCCATGATGGAGATTGTCAATGTGTGTCTTGTTTGTAGTAAAGAACTGTTGTGGCGTCTGTCCACGTAGTATGTGGTTGTGAAAGTAATTTCTTACTCCCTCTGTTCCATGGTCAATGAGAAGACATCCCAACTTGGCGTAGTACTGCATCTTAGCCTGACAGATAAATTGAAATTGAAGTTGTTTAAAACCCCGTATACCTTCCTTCCTTGATTACTTTTGCTTTTGCAAGAAAGAAATAATAACTCTTAGAAAGTAAATTTCATTCTCAGATTACGAAAATAAATAGGCACATACAATATAGGTTATCACACATCCCAACTTGGCGTAGTACTGCATCTTGGTCTGAGAGACAAATTAAAACAGAACAGAAAATTTAAGAATAGTATTACGCAATACATGTATATACCCTTACGAAAATTTTCGTGTAGCACGCCCTGTAGGACTTCATGAGACTATAGGTTTGTATATGTTTTAATTCAAGACTTTTGTTTATGTTTTTTTCGTATTTCCAATGGGTGATTATTGGTGACTTCCAGGACACTCTCTAAACCTAACTTACTACCTCTGATTGATTAGGTTAGCGGGACACAATAAAAGGTGCGTATAATTTTACTACAAATGACAATGTACATGTATCTCTCAGTAATTTGTTCGTAATATAAATTTGTACACACACGGTTAACTATGTCATCTGGCATTACCACCAGTAGATGTGTAAATGAAAACATAGACAGCCCCTCGTATTTGTAAATAGTACAATGTTTTATTTTTACTGTCCACCCACTAAAAGAAACCTGATAATATGTAGTCTTTGGTTGATGAAGACTAAAAGTAGCCATGCATGGTTATAAACATGGATGGCACTTTACCCCAATACGATGAACAGGCTGCCTACGTTACAACCTGGGCCCGTAACTCGAAAGCAACGAGCATTGAGACCGAGCGCATGCGTCTCGATTCCATAACTCACCATTTAAGGACGTTCTCTCATATTAGCTTTTTTTGCGATCTGCGCAGATTTCGCGCATGAGTAGTTTTTTGCGATAGCGGCTAATTATGAAAATATAACATGCAATAAAATATGTAATTCATCCTTTAAAAAAAACGGATGAAATATTTGATGTTATTTTGGTCGAAACGCTACGAATATGTCAACAATGCGTTGCGTATCAGTGAACGCTTGGTCTTTTACGACGTTAAGTACCCACTTGCGACTTTGTTTACAAACGCAGCGATGGAAGAATTATCGCGGAGAAGGGATGGAAAAGGACGTTTTAGTAAGGGTATTGCAACAGTGACAAGATGTAATCCCGTGGAAAATATTCACAAGGGCTTGTTTTTTGACCATGAAGTCTCTTGTGCTGATTTGGCCCATGATTACGATGTGTGCAGCAAGACATTGTCTACTTCCGCATTGATATCAGACCACTCAATTTACGGTCCTATTAAACATAGAAATGGATAGAAATGGATAGAAATGGGCAGAAATGGATAGAAACGGACCGTTATAGACCTCTAGNAATTTACGGTCCTATTAAACATAGAAATGGATAGAAATGGATAGAAATGGGCAGAAATGGATAGAAACGGACCGTTATAGACCTCTAGGTAGGGGGGGGGGGCGTCTCGATAGTCCGAAGGTTCATTGGTCCGAAGGTTCATTGGTCCGAAAAGTGGTAACATTTTCATCGATTTTTTAATCAAGGGTTCATTGGTCCGAAGGTTCTATTAACCCATTACAGTGACGTCATATTTGCTCCGTAACACTAGTCCAGCAGCCATACTGGAGGGAAAGAATGACGGGGATTAGTAGCGTAAATATAGGTAAACCAAATAAAATAAACTAAAACGCATATCGCAATCAAGTACACCAAAAGGAAGAGTGTATATACATGTGAAAACTACAGCTGATCAGCGGGATCGACCCATATAAACTCAGGACAGTCCAAAGACAAGAAATCCTGACTTATCCCAACATCGTGGAATTGTCAGAAGCTAGTTCATTTTTTCTTGTACTTCATTTTTCTTGTTCACTGGATAATAACAGTTATCGTTTTTAGAGAGTTTAATGTGTAATCATAACTTTTTACATAAAGGATAGATGTAAGGAGAAATTTGAGCTGACCATTGGGATCGACCCTTTAGGACTCAAAGAAGACAGTATGCAGGGTTGTCTTATAACAAGAAATATTGCTGTCAGATATGATTTAACTGAACATCATGAAGCTGTCAGAAATTATTTCAGCATTCTTGTACTTCATTTTGGTTCATTAGGAAGTACATGTAACATGGCTGTTGTTTGAGAGTTCAACATTTTATTATGAATTCAACCATTCACATTAGCAACATTTTATTATTAGTCCAGACATTCACAGAAGCAAGGCATTTTTCAAACTTATTAATTTATGATATCCAATGACAATGTAGCATATCAACAAGTCAGTTCATGAATTGATCTTCATTTGATTAAAAATATAGGAAAATGCACTTTTTGTATAAATAAAAGTTAACATAAAGTGCAAAACATTGTTGACATTGTTGCACAATTCAATGACAGATTATCAGAGTCCCTTTCCTTTCGGTTGATAACACTGGCATGAAAAATATTTCCATATACTTTTAATGATGCAATGCAACATGTACATGAGCATATTAAGTCAAATCAAGTCACCACAATCTGAGAAACCTGNAAATGCCTTGCCACAGTGGACACACTTATGGGGACGTTCTGTTGTGTGAACATGGACTACATGAGCCTTCAACTGGCATGCTCGTAGGAAAAGCTTTCCACAGTGCTGACAAGCATGTTTCTTCACTCCTGAATGTACTTGCATATGGAGAGCTAAAGCATAGCAGTTGGTCAAGGTCTTCCCACACTGTTCACAAATGACACTTTTCTAAAAAATAAAGCAAAACAAATAACATGTACGATAGATGGAACCGTCCAAACACTTTTTAAATAGCATATCAATCAGTCCATTGACAAAGAATGTTTTTACTATTGGTATCATAATTTTGTTGTGCACCTTTTTCTCAGTAACTCAATGGACAGCACCAACATACATAATAAAGTACAAAAAGCATAATATACCTTTTCTTTTGCACAATGATGCCTCTTCATATCAAACTCATTGAGAAAAGGTTTGTAGCAAAGTTGACATCGATACTGGCTGTTGCAATATCTTGCATGGAACTCAAATCTTCCCTTTCTTTTACCCCTAAACTGTTTGCAGTATAAACAATTTCGCCATTCTTCTTCTTCTTGTGCACTGGCTGGCTTCTTCTTTAAGCCAAGGTTGACTGACACTTCACTATTTTCAGTTAGTTTTCTCTTTTTAATTTGCTCTTGGATTGACTTGAAGGATTTACTGACCTTGGTATCAAAATCTGAACTTTCAGTAGAAATGGTCCCATTTATCAAAAGTGTCTGTCCTTCCTGCTCTGCAACCTTTGTTGTAATTTCAGCAAACTTTTCAAGAACTGACTGATCATTTTCTCTGAAAAGTTCCCCATCCATTGCTACCTTGCTTTCCTTTTCCTCTACCTTAATTTTGGGCTTTCTTCCTCTTTTCTCTATTTTTTGTTGTGGTCTATGAACAGCCAACATTTTCAAAATCTTGTCAAAAGTTTGTTCAACCTCCACTGGATCTGGTGTTGGGTTGGTTTCTTTTCCTAAGTCAGATGTTATACCAAAAGCCACATTCAGAGCCTCTGTCACAGGATCAACAGGCTGAGAAGGAGCCAAATCTGCACCACTCTCTACAACAATACTATCATCTAGATCAGAATCACTATCATCTTGCACTTTCCTCTTTTTAATTTTTCTTCTTGGTTTCGCTATTTGTTCCTCTTCAGGGTATTTTTTCACTTTTCGTTTTACAATGCGTAGTGATTTTCTTATACCCTTTGTGTTCGTTTCATCATCAAAACACTGCTTTGCTGCAGACCCAGTTGGTATGTATTCAACACTATCATCTTCAATCATTCCAACATCAACTGGAGATTCTTCCCCCTCATCATCAGTTTGTAATTCATCCCCATCATCATCATCATTATCATCAGTTGGTACATTTGTAGCAATTGTATCAGTTTTAATTTCCTTTTCTTCTTTTTCAGGCTCTGCAGACTCATTTGTCAATTGATTAGAAGAGGGTTTCTTTAATTTACGTTGGCTTTTTTGTTTGTTAGTTTTGCGTCGACTTTTTGGTTTGAAAAATTGAACTCCACGGAGGTATTCATCACAAAGCTGAACAGCAGTCTGTAAATCCAAAAGAGTAGCTAAATGTCTCAGCTTTTTTACATCCTCCTCATTGTCTATGTTTTTGGGCAGCTGAAACCTGCCAGTGTATATGACCTCAATGAAGAGCTGCAATGCTTCTGTGCTATAGTCATTGAGGACTAAGATTGACCCTGCTCTCTGCTGGTTTAGTAGATCACGGAAATATCCACAACTGGCTGCTAAGACACAGCGATGAGCTGGGAATGTCACACCTAGATCACTAACCAGAGACACATCACAGTGGACTTTGGACAGGCGCTGCTTATTCAATTCTGCTAGGATTGATTCAAAATGTGAGGACTTGGTCTGGATTGGAAGCATCCTGTACCTGCAAAAATAAAAAAAAAAATTAAAAAAAACATATGGACTTGTGTAGGATTTGGACATAGCTTTGAGAAAAAATGACTCCTAATATGACAGTATTATTAAAGCAAAATAACATTACATGATTCTGAAAAATTTCAGAAAAAAAAGGCAAATTTGGCTAATGTAGTTGGACAGCTACTACGCACAGAAACTATACTACAGAAACTATTTAAGAACAATTATGGTGACTTGAAATCAACCTGTCTGTTCACCAAACAAAGCCAACTAGCTTATATTTGCATTCGCAAAATAAAGTAAAACAAAAATATGGTTTAACCCTTATGGAGTAAACACTGAAAAATACATCAAATAAATAAATAAATAAATAAATAAATAAATAATAAAAAAAATAAATAAATAAATTGCAATACCAAAAACTTGTGTAAAAATAATTCTGCTGTGGGCAATTTTTAATCTCTGCCATCAATTTTATCAAACCACAAAATCCAGATAATAAGAATCTTTTAATTGTACCCAATATATATATATATTGGATATAATTAAAAAAATTCTTATTGCAGACATTTTAGTCCATTTTAATTTCAAATAGAAGTTAATTTTCACATAAAAATCAGCACTCGTCGCTTTTGCACACTGTCATTATAATCATATGTCCCGTTAAGGGATTTCTATCAATCTCACTTTTTAAAAGTAATAACGTCAGACCTGCGTAAACTCATTAACCATTGACAGATTCTCGTTCAAAGCTTATTAATCCATGAACCGAAAAAGATCTGTTCGGATCGGCGCGTGAAATTGAATTCTAAAAGGAATCATCAAATGTTTAATTCCTACTTTCATCTTGATTCAATTACAATACAGACAACAAATACACACACACACCATGTTTTACTGGTACTCACTGGATAGCTGCTTCCGCCTGCGAACAATAAGAGATAGTAGTTAAACTTAACTGGCACCTTGCTCAAAATGAACGTCGACGACGTGCGGCCATATTGATACCTAAGCTCATCTAAAGTAAAGAATGTAAAAAAATGAACGGCACGATACGACATGAAAAATAAAAAATAAAGAGAATATGATTTATATAGCTTATGTGTGTTCAAAATAAAGTAGGTTGTTTGATAAGAATTAAAACACGTTCCCAAAAATATTTTGCTGAAAACTGTTTACGAGGGGAAACTCCCGTATCTCTTTGACTAGGCCTACGGCTGTTCAAAACGAAACCGATATTCTCAATGAATTACTCAAGATCAGGACTAGTGTCACTGGTTTATCGACTTTATATTATGATATATTATAATGTATTTGTAAGTTTCAATGAATCGGTTTCTCTTGTGTTAATGGCGCTCGCTAATTTGTGTAACTAAATATGGTTTAAATAGATTAAATATAGGGATCGGCAGCTAGATCTATGCATATCGGATATAGATTTATAGACTTATACACCCGCCCACAGGGGTCTCTGACTGTATATAGTCTGTTACAAAATATTTTATTCATTTGACATAATTCAGTCGGCTGACTGAGTACGTATATGCTGATCGTATATGTGCTTTATTGGCCTATAGTTAGCCAAAAGACAGCTGCATGTATAGACGAACGTACTTTACTGTGGGTGTGGCCAGATCAACATCGATTGCAGCCTATGTAGAGGCTGTTATATAGAGGGGAAAACTATCATTTTCAAACATTAATCGTTGTTTTCATAGAGCACTGAATGTGATCATGATACGTGGGATGTAGTTTGGTGCCATATATGCAACTGATTTTGTTGAGCTATACGTTCCACCTTGTTTAAAGCGTAGCGAGACCACGTTCAGATCGTAGCTGGAACCCATTGGTCTACCAATTTGGAGATTGCATCTTTCACGTTTAAAAAGAATGCTTTTTTTCTTGAGAACAGTTTCTTTTAAAATTGGAATTTAGTCTGTTGCTGTTTTTCTTTTACAAGACTGAAAATATGTAAGTAGCTGCACCAGCGGGATAAAATTCTATAGAGGGAAAAAAGATAAAAGTAAGTTATGTAAAAAGAGAAAAAAAATCCAACCAATGCAGGCACCTTGATCCGTGCTAGAATGGTCGAGTATTAAAAAATTATATAAAGACTTTTAAAAGAAGTTCAAGGGCTTTAAAGTATTCGAATATAGGCCTATATATAGCCGAAGGGTCAAACATGCCCCCTCGACAGGCCTGCCGTGTGCTCAAATATACACCAAAAACAGCTATAGGCTATATAGGCTACCCCGATTAATTGTCAACGCACATAGTCTTGTATGCACTTAAACAATATATTCAAAGAGACAATTCAGCTCCATTATTTCGTACCATCTTCTAGATATGCGGCGTTTTTAACTCTGAACTACAGCTAATCAAAGCACCGTTCGTCCCTACATATTCTCTACCAGGACCGCAGTTTTGAATTAATGTTTTCATATCTCGAAGTCCAGGTATTTAGGCAATAGTACACCATTGTATTGCACCGGGGTATTATTTTCATTTGAATTTTGGAACAATGTTTGGGTGTGCAAAGTGTCAGTGTAGCTATGGAAATATAGCGCACCATAGGCCTATAGTCCATGGTGTAGCCTACTGGTAGGCTAAAATGTTTTTTAAAATGATAGTGCTCCTTAGTTTGGCATGGTTTTTGGATATATTTCCATGACAATGTTTTTAATGATTGCTGGATTTTTTTAACATAACCGTACAAACCAGTGACTAATTGCAACACGAGGTCGTGCACGTGCACTGTATTTACATAGTCTCTTTCCGCATTTCGGTATTGAATCTATTCTTGTTATGGTCATTGGTTCCAGAATTTTGCGCTAGGAAAACTCGTCATCTTACATATGCAAGGTTTTGTTATATTATCAGTGTGGTGGCATTTTTTCTCGGTCACCTTTTTCCCCCTGTCATGAGAGAAACTATTTTTTACCCTAAGTATAGCTTGCCATTTGGTGATTGTCACGTGACTTACACACACGTTCGTTTGCCTAGAACTGGCCTAGACAAGACGAGCACACAATTGTCTTATAACAAGAAATAGCATCATTTTGCTAAATTTAGCGTCAGTGCATGCAAACTTTCCTTGGCGTATCAATTCAACCAGGTGATTGGATTTTTCAGACTCCGACTTTTTTCGTGAAAATTTGCTTGTTTGAACGCAACAACGAAAGTAGGTCACACTGTCAGCTGTTTTCAAACAATACCTGTAGGGGGTAGCAAGGGCTTTTTTGTTGACAGTTGGTGTTGAACTCTCAGGAGGTGAGTATAATGTAATTTTTCTTAATATAAAATTAACTAATCCTTGTTAATTCAGACTTAAGTTCTAATGCCACGAAAAATTTTAAAACTCAACAACTGAACGACATTTAAAAGGAAAAGTGCATTGTTTTGGTTTTTCATGGTGTACATGCAACGGTGTAGGCCTAACTTCGTAATTTGTTTTAAAAGGATTTACATGGCTTCTCCTACTGAGTCATGTTGTACCTGGGAAAGGAATGTATACATTCTTAATTTCATTTAATTAAGTAACTGCAAACGTGTACTATTTTAACTTTGGCTGGAAGAAAGGGCGATGATATATTATAACATCTTAATCAAAAGTGCCAGGGGGAACAAACCACATTCAGTGCTGCTGCTAGAAAAAAAATGTTTGCACATTTCTGTCAGTCTAAAACATATTATTTATGGCTGCATGTGTATAACAGTCTTGCCATCCTTGCATGCTACAGTAGTACATGTACTAGCTGTAGTCCTTCAAAAATGTGTTCCCCTGTTCGTTAAGAGTTGGGTTGGGGAGACAAAGAGGCAGAATATTTCAGTACTTCATTTAGTAAAAATATGGTACATGTACTAACTAGAATACCTTACATGTTATTACTTTGTGTAAGTTGTAATCCTCCTTAGCACTAGGCAGGCTAGGTCTGCTAGCTACTGTAAGTAAGCCTGCTGCATGATTATAGATGGGTTAGACTGGGGTTAAGAAGAAACCTGATAAAATACATGTGTTGAATGTTTGAAAAAAATTATTTTGTGATTTAATTGAGTTAGTATTTTTGTGCGTTAGGTCAGTATATATCATGTACTGGAAGGTAAAAAGTGGAAGGGATGTTTTCCAGTATTGAAATACTTTTGGCAAATTTGGTATTTTACAGATATATTGTGAATGGTCTTAAAAAAGGATAATTAGTACCACCAGCGTATACGCTGGCGGTACTCATGGTTTTAGTCCCGACCCGTCTCGTACAGCTCCGCCGGCTCCTGCGGCTCCGCTGGCTCCGTAGTCGGGCGCCGGAAACAAGTCACCGTTACCGCTTCTCCTCCTAGACTGCCAAGACCTGTCTTGGATTTAGGTCACATATAATCTCAACTTGTACACCCTGTTTTTTTTGTCTCTGTCGGTGCATTGGCCTGGGCAGGACACTTGTTGAAACGCACTCTTGTCAAAATTTTTGAAAATTCAAAGCTAAATATCTCCCAAACCAAAGGAATTATGGGAAAAATTACTACAGAAGTCTGACCGAAAGTCATATGTGGAGACTACTAGCAGAGATAGGTCCAAAGTTACTATTGAACTTGAATAGGAAGTCATATACTTGCAATCTTACTGTGACCTTAAAATTGACCTTTGACCTACTATTTATGATGAACTGCACTTTACATGTTTCCTGGCCTTCATATCTCCAAGATTGGCAAAGAAATGCCCATAGCTACTATTGAACTTATATAGGAAGTCATATACTGTGACCTTGAAATTGATGTTTGACCTACTTTTTTACCACTAACTGAACTCTGCATATTTTCTTGCCCTTCATATCTTCAAAACTAGCAGAGATCTCTCCAGTGTTGTCCCTAGGTTTTCTCTTTTGTCAGCATTCCGGTATATGCAATACTGATAATGCATTTTAAGGAAAACCAATCGGCCTACTGTTTAGAAAATCACAGGAGGGATCAGTGTTAGGAAAATACAGGTCAATTTGAACATCTCCTTGATTGGACCATTTTAACTGTTATGTTTTTTCGATTTTTTTTTTTTTTTTTGCATATTTTGAGAACTCTTGTTTATTGTATTTTACAGAGTTTGTCAAGCACAAGAGTGGTGGTGGTGTCCAATTTTAATTATTATATTTTTTTTTTTGGGGGGGGGTCCACAAGAATGCGCTTACTCCAGCTGGTGGTACAATATCCAGAGGCGGTATCGCCTCTCTGATCCTCTAGTTTTACCAATGTAAATGGCATATGAAGAAAATAATACTGAATAACATTTTGTGCTAATATGCAGTGTATTTGTTTATTGTTTCAAGCTTACTAGCTCCTAACTTGGAGCTCCTAACAATGGAAAATTAATTGATTGTAAAATCTTAGCATTGCTTGCAGACAAATATTCTTTCTTCATGTATGGCTACCATCATCCATCATCAATGCCAAGTTCATTTTGGAATATATAAATAATGTTAAGTACTGGTAGCCACAAAGATTTTTTATACTCAAAAATTCTGCAAAGAGGAAATTTAACAAACCAATCCATGCAAGTTGAAAAATGATAGATTTTTCCTTTATACTTATAATGAATACTAACAAACTGTTACTTGTTAGTTTAGATTTAAATTAGATTTTTTTACCTATAGATATGGTATACTATTCATGCGTGCGCACGCGCACACACACACATTTATTTAATTATGCTTATAATTTATGTCAAGTAATATCCATTGCTAGAGTTGATTTAAGATTAACCCCAAAAAGGTTCAAGCAAAGGCTATTTTGAAATTGGATCTTTAAACCAAGCTGAGTGACCTTTTTGCCTTGATTGTTTGGTCATACTTTTGTTTTGATTTTTTCTACTCTGTTGAAATAGGGAGGTCTATTGGGCATTGCCTAAGAAAGTTTACCGGAGGACAAAGCAGTGTCCTTATTTAACCTCCTTAGAATTTTAGTACTGAATACTTGTGGGAAAAAATTACACAGAGGTGAGTATTTTTCATAGTTTATTATCCATTTTATACATCTGAAGTCAGTAGAATTAAGCTATTCTATCTAGTTACAACAAAGTTTAATTCAGTAGAACAGGGCTCTGTGAAAAAGAGAAATGTTATTATTACACCAAGTAGTGAAGTTTGTATGCTGTGACAATTGTCAGTAGACAAAAGGGATTATATATAATGTCATAAATTCATTGTACACTGGTAACAGGTTTTCATTTGCGGTCACATTCTGTGGTTTGAGGTGTCCTTGTTGCTGACAGGTTTTTAGGCCAGCTACAATTCACACTGAAAAAGACTGTTCATGTGATATTTGATAGTGCTTGTGAAGTAGGGAATAATTTATCACATGATGTAATCTGAACAATTCAGCATGTGGATTTTGAAAAAAAGTGAATTGAGAATACTTCTTTATAAAATTACAAATTGCATTCAGCAGCTTGGGTTTCAAGTTGTAACCTTTTTTTAACAGACTAAGATAATTTTGATGATAATGTTTTCGATTATAACCTATTCTATGGATTTTTTATTATCCATTTAATTTTTGGATGAAGGGAGAGAAATGGTTGGAGGCAGGTGACCAATCAAAATTTTGAGAGAAAGAGAGAGAGTGAGCTCTGCCAGCCATTGTGTATTTCTGATTGCTTGCATCAGCTAAAATTCACATTTGGCATTTCATCATACTTTAAGCAATGCATGTATTTTTGGTTTTGTTTTGTTTGGGTGGAGACAGGCATTTTAGTAGGTGTTTTAATTTTTGATTACACTATTTCACTATCACAGTTTTAATTTTATTTCTTACTTACAAGTAAGCAAAGATTGTCTTTTTAAGTAAAATTGGACCAAGTGATTGGGTCTGTAAAATGAAACCGTAGTAAGTTGATGAGTCATGGGTTTTTTTTTTGATAATTCATTGATTTCATAGAATATTGACCTAACTGTTGGACAAAGAACATTTATTATTAAGGGCATTAAGTATTAGATAACTTCCGTCCACAAGTGGCAGTGCATCGGATAATTCATTGTTGTTGCCATTTTATGGATCCATTAGGGTTTTTGTCAGTAAATTAATCATATAAGCGGGGAAATAATGTTAACAGCAATTGAGCAACCTCGTGTTTGAAGAACTTACACTCATACATATATTTTTAGACAAAGCTAAGGCTACTTGTGTCCTTTATTTCCTAATAAACCAGGACCAGAGCAATTCAGGTACTCTCTGTTACATGTACCTTCTAATGATGCTCAGAGAATTGATTTTGCTGTAGAGTTGAGCCAATGATTTGTATTCTAACACGCCAAGAGCCTGAAGGGTTGCTGTACAAATATAGAAACACATCCTGGAGATGCCGTTCTGACAGCAAAGTTGGCATCCAACTCACATCATCATGATTACAAATAGAATGGTATTCTGAAGATACACAATAGATGTTGCTTCTACAAATCTGTTATTAATTTTCATTGCCAACTTCTTCATGTAGGTGACCTTTCTTTTAGACATAATTAATACTGGGTATGGGAAGTAGATGCTGTTGATTGTTATGCAATGGGGAATGGTGATTAAAGTGGCAGGGATATTGTTTACAGAGAATTTTGACATTTTATTACCATTGCAGACATAGATTTTATATACTGATTTTATAAATCAATATATTTATATGTGACATTAATGGCTTGCCCATGGGGAAGATGAACCAAAATGAACATAAGATACAGCTGGAGGACAAATAAAAACTACTTAATAATGTATTAAAAAAGGTGAATTCAGTGCAAAAATTTTATAACATCATAGAGAAAAAGGGAAACTCAATACTATTAATATTTTTTTTTTTTATATAACAGAAAAGTCCTATGCTATCATTCTTCAATGGGGACATAACCTCAGTGTCAAGAGTCAGTTAAGTTTCTTAAAGGACAGGACAGGCATTTAAAAGATAGAACCGTCTTCTGTGTATTGTATTGTAGGATGTTATGCTTTAAGGGAAAGAGGCATGCAGCTGTAGCATTGGCCCCATTTCCAAGTATTTGAGTCTTGAATATACAGAGTATATGTGTAAGTATTATATCACCTTTGAGGTTAACGTCTTATTCAGATAAGATTGAGGAGAGGTAAGGTTCAATTGCTGTAGATTTACTTGAATAAAGCTGTTATCAGGAATGCTGTCTGGCTGTGAGTGTGATTTGGCTAATATTGGGATTTCCCCAGGTGTTAATCAGACACAGCAAGGTGCAGGCAGACAGCTAACAGGTTCCATTGTTTTCTTTTAGGAAAAAGGATCTGTTCATAGAAATTGTACAGCAAAAAGGAATGGGGGATCCACCAGAAGAGGGACCTACGCCTTTCTTGCCTCTCGTTGGAATACATATCAATCCTATGGAGGGGCAGAGTTTTTCATCCCAGTCTGAGGAATCACCAAAGAAACACCTTTTGCCTTTGCCAGATGCACCTTACTCTGAGGCTAGTTCGGCCAACTCTTTGAACCCAATCTGTCGAATATGCCATATGCCAGACACAGCCCAGGATGCACTGATCTCACCGTGCAGGTGCTCAGGAACCCTTCAGTTTATACATGTCACATGTTTAAAGGTGAGTAGATGTCACCCATGTGCTACAATTAAGTTTGCTTCCAGCCAAATGAAAATTTTGAGACAAATAGACAGTGATCCAGTTATTGCAAGTGAACTCATTTCAATGATTCATTTATTTATTTAGTTTCATTTACTGATTCAGAACACGTTATGTAAGACTCGGTAAAAGTTTTTTGAAATGAAAGTGTAAGTTTGTTTAGCATTGCACACAGCTGTGACTTGGCTTTAGATATATATTTTGGAAAGGTCTTGGAGGACTGTTTTTATATGAAGAATTCAAGGCAAAAAAAAAAAAAATGAAATATGTGCTCTGGGACTATCCTTATTTCTGGTAAGGGTTGGTTAGGTACATTATTGACATTGAAAATGGACTGGTACATGTCTATATGTAACTTTGGCAAAATATAGCCCCCTATGCACAGGGTTATTTCAAGCCAAATGCCAAGGCCAATATTGAGTTAACAAGTCAAACACTGAAGGAAAGATGCATTTATCCCAAAATTTCTATTAAAATAGGATTATAATTTTCCTCCTGAATACACCAATGGTAAGCTTGCGTATAGTGAATATCATAACTATACATCATAACTATGATGTTTTTAGCAGAGTAAATCATTATGGGAAAATTTGTCTTAAATTATATGGGAATTGTTTCATGGAAATGGGCCATACTGTGGGAATTAACAATAATTGATTTTTTTAAGGTGAAAAGCAATTGATAGTTTTGTGTCCAAGTATGACAATTATAGTATAGGTGCACACAGCCACAGTTTGCATTGTGAAGCAGCATCATGTTGCAGCTAGCAACCCAGTATTGATTAGCATGTGAAGTCAGCTGCTCTGTGGCTCTGCAGCTGAGGACTTGATATTTACCTTAATTTTGGGTTGTGTACCCTCATGGGTTCAAATCCACTCTTGTTTTAAGTTGAGTCAATAGACTACTGCATATCTTGGCTGTATACCAAGTATGTTGGTATATATGACTGATATATAACACGTTCATGTTTCAGCTTATCAATATATTTCTGTTGCTTGGCTCTTCTCATCAAAGGCATACAACTCCCAAGATAACATTTACAAGCATTCATTTTGCTGTTTCATTAAAAGAAGTTAACCTTCGCAAATGTTAAATTAGTAGTTGTGTTCCCCGTGAAAATGTAAGGAGTGAATCGTCAATTACTGTAACACTGAAAAGTACTTTGCTGCTATGGCTGGTACATTACAAATTTACAAATTAAAAAAAAAAAAAAAAAAAAAAAAAAAAAAACTATCCCATTGACTGAAGATCAAGGCACCTTTATTTTGGATAGATAATAAACCTGTACTTTCTGAAAATTTACAATTGGGACTTATTCAGATGTAATTTACACAAAATTTTTGTAAGAAAAAATTAATTGCAGAAAAAAAAAAATATATATATATATATTTCAGAGATGGTTGGAAGTTTGCTCACGCAAGACTAGGAAGCCACCCAAGTGTGAGCTGTGTCATTACCAGTTTCATCGGCACAAGAAGTTCAAAGTAAGTATTATGAAGGGTAAACTGAGGGTACAAGTTGTGCATATTAGAGTTATATATCTATATGTATGTCGATTTAAGTTGTAATATTGACTGTGCCCAAATTATTTAACTTCCTTAAATGCTGAGGAGGAGTGTTTTGTTCACCAAACTACAGGATACAACTCCAGTGCTAATTTTGTGTTTGGTATCTAGTGTAGTATTCTATATTTAACAGAACAGTCAGTTATGAGTGGAGTAGTTTACTACTATAGGCGTATATACACAGTCGGTGTGTACCTCAAATGAACTATCAACATGACAAGAAGCATGTACAGTGTAGAAAAAAGTTCTGCATGTAGAAAATTCTGTATGTGGGTTAGATTACAGGTTACAGGTTATCCTTGAATTTGGTGCCAAAGTTTATTTGTGCACTGAATTTTATTTTCACTTTAGGACAACTCTGTCAGTTTAAACACAATTTATTTACTAATAGGGTTTAAGTTTCACTTTTGACAGGTCTGCGGGACTTAGGGGGAATTTAATGAATCAGCAAGGGTGGATCTCAGTATGCATGATATTCCTTGAAGAAAAATCAGTCTTCCTATTTTTAGCCCACTTAAATATATTTGTAACCATTTGAAGTTCATGCTTGAGAAGATGGCATGATATGCATTTTTATATATGATGCTTGTTGTTAAGAATTTGTTATATATGTGTACTGAATTCATAGTAATGGAAAAAATAATAAAAAAATATGATAATGGTGCTTTTTGCACACTTAGATTTTTCTTGATTGTTGAAAAACATTTTTTGCTAAATGTTTTGATAAAAAGTTGTAACAGTTAATACCAGGGAGTATGTTAATGTCAAATTTAATCAAATAGATTGATCATAGTTATTTCAATATTATTATTTTCAGATGATCTGAATATGAACTTGTCTTTCTTCCAGTGTAACCACTTCAGACTCCCGAGGGTAAATGGACGAGACAAAATCCTCCACAGCGTCTTTCTCATCAATGTCATTGTCATGCTGTCCTGTGCAGTCATTACTGTTATGTGTTTTCTGTCAGATAAGGGCCAGATCAGCAAATTCCCTCGCAACAAAGTTGACTTGACAACAGAGGAGATAGTTACCCTGATTTGTGGGGTTTTATTTTTCGTTTCCTTCTTCATTGCCATGTCAGTTCAAATCAAAGCAAAACATACAGTCTACCAGCTGATCGTTAAGTTTATAATGCAGAATATGCAGTGGGAGATTGAGGAGTACGACAAGGGCAAGGATTGTGAAGATGTTCAAGGCCATCCTGTGCTGGTGTGACCTTTTGGGAAACTATACAAATACACTATCTGTATGGAAGTATTACACCTTATCTCAATGATGGATTGACATACTTTATCTTAAATTGCTACTTATATTTAGGGGGTGGAAAAATCATCCTGAATTTCAAATTTTAATTTGAAATTCTCAGTATTTCTACAGACACTAGATCATATTGGGAAATATTAAGATCTGCCAATTTGTATGGGCAAGCTCTCCTGAACATACTTGATCAGGGCTATAAAGGCTTGTCTCAGATTTTAGTAGGGTAAGAGGTAGATCAGGTATATAGCTGACATTAGCTTGAGTTTGTTAAACCTTGATTGCTTGTATATCTGCACAGTTATCAGTTTTCTTTAAATGCTGTCAAAGCAGTTGAAGTCCACATATATCAAGGACAGTGGAAGTGCACATTGCATGTAAGACTTTGTATAAGTATAGAAGTTATATATGAAGGTGCACCTTGGTGACAAAATAATCTGTTCGTTCCTGATATCATAGTGCTCCCATATGTAGTTAGTTTGTTGTGCTTGAAGCCAGCATCAAGCTTTTGTCACAGGTAGTCACAATGATGAGTCAAGTCTGTTTTTATATCATGCTTATATAAACAATGTATGAAGTAACATGGGTTAAAGGTATACTATAGGCATTTGGAAATGTCCCAAAGTTACAATTTTATGTCTAAATATCCTGCAGAGGTACTAATCTTCTCCAATTCAGGCCATAGAAATGATAAAATCCCTCAGATAAAAGTTTGATGTTAATGTATCCTTGTTGAGAAGACATAGCTGTCTTAACTAAGCCAGATTTATTTAAAAGTAACTTATTTAATATGAAATGGCACAAAACTTTGAATTGGTGTGCAGGGATAGGCAAGCAATGATTCCTGAATAAAATGAGATTTGGCATGAAAACCCTATATAGAATACCTTGTACTTGTTTACAGGAGGTGGTCACCTTGTTCCGCAGAGCAATGCTAGGTTGTTTTTTTTTTAGTTGAAATAATGTCCATTCATTGAAATTCTGTCAATTTTGATATACATAAAGCTCTGTTTTGCTGATGTTCATGTTGTTTTAGCATATGAAGTACGATGTGTTAATTTTAGAGTGAGCACATTTAACAGATGTGCAACCATGATATTTAGAATACCCACACCTGACTGATTAAGAAAAACATTGCCTGTAATAAGCACAAGGAGTTTTATATCCTGTTTTGTGAGTGATAAGATAAACTTTATAGGTTTCAAGACTGACAGTGATTGCTACAAGAGGTTTGCACTTAATTGAGGCATATTTTGAAATGGGATATTTTCAAGGTCAAGTGACACAAGTTCTATTTTTTCTGGAATGTAATACTTCAAAACAAAATAAGAGCATGGTATCAAAAGAGGCGAAAATCATGATATTATTTTTTTATGCTTTTGTTATGAGTCCATTGAATCTTGTAATGATATTGTCACAAGATGTCTTTGTTGAATTTTAATTTCATTGTAACATGAGCTTGCTTCATTATATTATTGCTTTAAGGAAAGACCAGCATCACTGTATATAGATTTAATGGTAAATGCACCATTTTGTTGTTATTACAGATTTACTCCTTGCCTCATAAAAAAATTAAATATTCTTGACAGCTTATAAAAATTAGTGATGTTATACAGTGAAGAAGGCAACTACATGTTCACAAATGCATAATAACATGTTGCATGGTGTTTTAATATGATTTTAAAGAAAACTATCAGTAGGTTATAACAGCTTGTTTTATTCCCTACATATATTCCAGGATATGTAGGATTATGATTATAATGACAAAATGCAATAGAAATACTTTGCACACATCAGATAGATTAGGCATTTCTATGTAAAAACCAGCACCCATGCCATACCCATTTTGTTTATTATATACAGGTGTATTTTTCCTGTCTAAAAGCTTGCCAAAGGAAATGATACTCTTAAAAAGCCTTAAGCTGTGTAATTCTTCATTATTGCTTTGCCTGAAAGGTTCCATAAAATGGACAGAAAGGATGGCTAAATTATTTGATTTTCTTAAACCATAGTGGTGCTACTATACAGATAGATCTGTGAGAATAACAGTTTTGCTAAATATGATTCTGTTTGCTTTGATGTGATGTAAATAGCTGAAACGGTCATGATAAACCACTTCTGTTCCAAAAAATAAAAAACTGTAATTCAGTTGATTTAGTATAAGAATGAATCACAAGGACCAACAGCTAGTTTTGGTACTTTCTTCTGTAGGAAGTATTTATGACCTCCGAGTGGTTGCATTACCAGGATTAACTGAAACTTGATTGTAATTTGTAAGAGTTACTGCAAATGATGGTGTATTATTTGCGGCTCAGATACCCTGATTTTTTCAGAGGTGGGTTTGTAGTTAGACCGTGAATACTGTGAAGGTTACCAAACTGTAAATAACTGTAACATTTTTTTTTTTCATGCACATGGAAGCATTGGGACTTTTTTTCTTGTTTTTCCAAATGAGTGTGCCTAATTATGAAAAAGACTTCATAGGACTGCTGTTCACCATATGTATATATAATATTTACAGTGGTTTTGACTCTTAAACACCAGCAAATACCACACCTAACACCGTCAAAATTATTTGTGTAGTTCTTACAACTATAGCAAGCTTTGCAATTGTATTTGCTCAATATTTTCACTGATATTTCCCAGAGCAGCAAACAAAACAGCCTATGAAACTTATTCGGCTGCTGGGCAGTCACTCACTCATTCATACTTTCTTAGTATCTTTCAGTATATTGTTATAGATGTTAGACAATTGTAAATAGACATCTTGGGAATACTAGATCATGACTTTTAATTATTCTTAGAAGTTTTAAATGGATTTGCTCTATTTTTATCATTAAAATCTTAAATAAAGAACATGCTTCATTCCATGTGTTGCTTATATTTTATAATATTAGCATAGAGAAAGGCACCGCAAGACCCAAGTTTCATAATTTAAATTTTTTATTTAAAACATGAAAATCCCTTAAATAACAAATAATGTTGACGTCGAAAACGGCATGTTTTTGTAAATGAAACAAAAACAAATGCAGTATCAAACATTTGTACTGTGAAGTCTGATGAGGAATTATGGATCTGCAAAACTCCGAAACATCCATGATGCAATCTTCTTTCCAGTTTTCAGTTCACGTACTCACAGCTGGAAAATCGGGGGCCCTAACAGAATACTAATTACAGGAGCACGTTTCAACAATCTCTTTCAACCTTGCTCTAGATATGAGGTAATAAAAGTCAGTCCTACATTATGGCCAACACGTATGCAAAAAATGATAACTATACCATCATGATGTATATACATAGTATTTGCCCACAAAGAAACAAAGAATACAGGTTCAACTGAAACATTAGGAGTCAAAAATTGCAAATGGTTCCTTTACTTCAAAAGTAAAGTTATATGTTAAAAGCAGTTGCAATTTGTATTAATCATTCCTGTTGACCTTCTTGGAAGGCCGCATTCAGCTCTGGGTTAAAAGCATAACCAAGTGATTTACTTGAATTTAAAAAATAGTCATCGGTCAAGGTCATTGATTTAATACATTTTAATGATATTGAAATTGACACTTTATTCATATTTATACCACCGTGAGTTTCAATGTACTGCAGGCAGCTTTATCCTATCAAACCTACGCTCCCTGTCATCACCTAGATTTAGGTAACTGCTTTGGTATGCTCACGCCACATCTCCAGCAGACTGAAACAACTTTCCACAGGTCCTCAGCCTCACAACATATATTTACCTCTGGACTGCTTCATAATAGCACAAAGGATCTTGATGATTCCCATACTTTAAATAGAACACTTCATTTTTTCATAGTCTCCTTGATATCTCCATGATATTAATAACTGAATTAAATTTCATGACGAGTTGCATTTTTATGTCAAAAGGAACTGAATATTTTTTCATTGGCAAAAATAGATCTTCTGGACTATTGGCAATACTTGTGCAGATTACTTTGAATTGTATCCAGTTGGAATCAGTTGACAATAAGATTTGATCAGTTATATATTAAGAGTAAAAAGAGTAATGTCATTTCTGCAGTTATTTTGATCAATCTATGAAGTAACCATTTGTCAAATACAGACTAAATTTTCTTCCTTTGAAAAAAAGTCTATATAACACTAAACACAAAATGTACTTGGCCTTTTTAAGTCTCAAAAAAGTACTTAATCCCTTAATGATGGTATATTTTAACGACTCAACAACATAGGAAAAAATATGAATACGGAAGACTTTCTTACAGTGTAATCAAAGAAGACCAGCAGTGTAATGCTTGCCACCAGGGGCCAGCTGGAGAACCATATTTTTTCCCCAAAAAAATTCTCAGTATATGGTACATAAACATGTGGAGAAACATCCAGAGAATATATGTGTGAAGATCTACTAAAATCCTTTCTCTTTGTGATCCAGGTAAAGGGTAGTGGTTTGACAAGTGACAAGCACTTGCAGAGTGCTGCACAGATGGTGTTTTAACCTTTTACTTGAAAGAAAGGCAAGGAATTAATTTCCAACACCCTTAGGTGATTGTTCTGCTCTTCAACAATTAGTTCATGTAAAAAGAATCCCAATTACATTTCCTTAGGAATCTGTTGCTTTGTAGTGGTCGTCATCAATTGTGGAATAGATGTGCCCTTCACTGCTTAGAAATTCGATGGCACTCCTGAAAGAAAATTCACTTTTTTTTGACAAACTATGCACATTTTTTAATCTATCACTCTTGACACTTTACACTTTCATGTGACAGGAAAACATATTAAAACAAAATCTGCGTACATAAAAATTTATCATACCTTAACTGGGAACAACACTGAAATAGTAAACTACAGAGAATACCAAAGTGAAGTAATTCAAAACAAACAAAAAACAGCAACTTTAAAGCAAAAGAAAAATAGTTTGAATGACTAGTCACAACAGCCAAATAGCTCCATAGTGATTTGAGCTATTGCAGCAAAATTATCCAATAAAGTAAAACTACCTGATGGCTTTCTCCGTCAGACCTTCCAGTTGTTTTGCTATTTCATAAACACTCACACCTTGCTCGTCTCGACAGTCACTTATTGTCTGTGCTACCTGGAAATGATCAATCAAACTATCTCAGTTCAAGTTACATAACACATGATATACAAGCCCGCGAAAAGGTCCTACAATAATCAATATTGTCCATACTTCCTATTATTTTTATGATACATGTTATATTTATGAATGCGTAAATCTGCAAGTTTTACATTAAATCTAAATCCAAGTGAGCCAAAGGCTATCAATTTTGGTTTTGATTAGTTCAAAAAACACTCCCTCTTTTTTTCAATGCTGTAACTGTACCAGTTATCAATATAGTCTTATTTTAGCACACATAATTTGGCCATCAATATTTTAAGTTAAATTCTTTAACATTAAATCATGGCTCTTTTCCAAAATTGTTTAATATGATTTTGTTACCTGAAGGAAAAAAACATTTTGCTTTTTAACAGCTTTTTACTACAGAAATCAGAATGCACATGTTACTGCATTTTATCTCACAAGGGGGCATTCTGTTTGGTTCTGATGAGCTAACACACAGTTCATCTTTTCATGAGGCTTTTTTCTTTTCTTTTTTTGAAATATGCACATAACAATTTTAATGTCAACAAATATTTATTTGCCACTCTTAACCGTAACAGTAGAAAATTATAATAAATTACCTTTACGGTCATGAGTAAACAATTATTTACATTATAACAAGACTTTGAAGCTGGAATTTGACACTGAACAACAGGCTGTTATAAAAAAGAAGCTTCTACATCAGTGTTTGCATCTTAGGAAAATTAGTTGCTGGACCAAAAGTCCAGCCATCTTGAAAAGTAGCTGGACTGAATGTCTGCCGGGTGGGAAAACTTCTCAGCCCGTTCTGAAAGTTGTCAGCCCTGGGCAGATGGTCCAGCCTTAATTTCTAACACTGTTCTACATGCTTCTACCCGACAATAACAATATCTCCTCTGACTAGAAAATAAATTGGCAAGTAACATTTGCAACAACAAAAAGGGGACTTGAGTTGTTTGAAACAACCAAGATTTAAACACTTTTTCTACCAAAACCTGTGTTGTTGAATTAATTAACCCCAAAATTGTGTTGGATGAGTGTAAATGCTGGGGTAGTGCTAGCAAATTTTTCACTTAGCCAAATCACTACTTTTTCATTACTATTTTTGCAAAACGGTTTAAATTTGACTAAAACCAAATCAAACCAAGCCTATTTTGTTTAGCCAATTTAAGTCAGTTTTAGCATTTGGCTAAATTGGCAAGTGTTAGCGCTACCCCAGAAATGGATGTGTTAAGATTTTTTTCAACTCTACATCCAAAACTATTCAGTAAGGACAATTCAAGGTGAAGTATTCACTGAGCTTAGACCACAGTGGAAGTGAAGAACAAAAGACTCAGACGTGGTGTAACTCGCATAACCGCACGTCTCGCATGAATGCGTTATAACCCGCTAATGGACCCGTGGTCTAAATAAGATAGACCCCTCGTCAGCGAGGGTTATGTGACATCCACTCGTGCTACGCACTCGTGTATGCCACATAACCCTCGCTGACTCGGGGTCTATCTATTACATAAGCAGTTCAACTTCAGGCTTATCTAAGCAATAACCTCTTTCTCTCTAGGTCATTGGACACTGACCTGTGAAAAATGATGACCCACTGAAACACATGTCAGAGCATGAGGAGTCAAGACATCTGCTGAATCGGCCCACTTTGTAGGTACTGGTTAATTATGTAAGACCTTTTATCTTCACAGAGACAAGACACGAAGCTGTCAATTTTACCTGTGCTTGTATTGGTGTGAGTCCATTGGCTGGAATGCTGCCCTGGGCCCCAGAGTATGTGTTATCAGCTGCCACAGTCTTAGCAGGAGCATCCTGTAAAGATAAGCAATATTCCACTTATCATGACCAGTAACAGACAATATGATTATTTTTTTATTATTTTTACAAACACTTTCCTTTTTGGGATATTATCCTAAAACACAGGGGGGTCGTGCAGAAATAAAATATGGGAAACATTATATCACTCCACTTGTCTAACCTTGCCTTATAATGCTTCACATTTTAATTTTAAAAAGGTATCCCCCCCCCCCCCCCAAACAAACAAACAAAAAATAACTACTCCCACTTACACAATAAGAGCAATACATAAAATTTCACTTACACCTGCTTCCATGTGCATTTTGGATGCCATGTGGGCTTGCATGACCTCCAGAATGTGTGTCGTTAACTCATTCATATCCGTTACTGGTTGGATCCTGAAAGCAACCACATTTTTCTTGCCTTGGAAAGCACGGATATGACCGAATAACCTCACATAGGTATTTTCTCGTACAGATCGTATCCTCTCTGCCTCTTCTGAATTAGCTTCCTGTTGAAAAAGTTATTTAGTTTAGCCAGTTCTTTAAGACAGAATCCAACCAGACAATGGTAGTCTTTCATAAAGGCATTAACATAAAAAACATCCATCAATCTCTCCAACTGTGATGTACTACAGTGTGTTGAAGAAAAAGGTTCTTTCAAGATAATATGCTACTACCAATTAACTACATGAGAAGACAAGGCAGCAAAGCTGTCAAATGTACAGACAAAAAACAGAAAATAAAGATGCAAAAAAGGTCATTTTGTCAATTTTGATGCAATAATAAATAATGCTTATAATAGCACTGTCAGTCAACACTGAATTTTAATCTTGCACAATAGGTAACATGGTCAATAACAGGAGCGAACCCAGAGATATTTTCTGACAGTATTACAAAGTATCTATGTTGATCCATCCTCCATTTTGATGGTCTTCCAACAGAAAAAA